TGTATGTATGTATGTATGTATGTATGTATGTATGTATGTATGTATGTATGTATGTATGTATGTATGTATGTATGTATGTATGTATGTATGTATGTATGTATGTATGTATGTATGTATGTATGTATGTATGTATGTATGTATGTACTGTATGTATGTATGTATGTATGTATGTATGTAATGTATGTATGTATGTATGTATGTATGTAATGTATGTATGTATGTATGTATGTATGTATGTATGTATGTATGTATGTATGTATGTATGTATGTCTAATGTATGTAATGTATGTAATGTAATGTAATGTATGTATGTATGTATGTATGTATGTATGTAATGTAATGTAATGTATGTATGTATGTATGTATGTATGTATGTATGTATGTATCTATGTATCTATGTATGTATGTATCTATGTATGTATGTATGTATGTATGCAATGCATGCAATGTATGTATGTACGCATGTATGCATGTATGTATGTATGTATGCATGTATTCATGTAATGTATGTATGTATGTATGTAATGTATGTATGTATGTATGTATGCATGCATGCATGCATGATCCTTGCACTTCCCCTTTGCTCCCCAGTATTTCCCGCAAAATACACGTTTTTTTCGCGTTTTCGCAAAGAGGATGTCCAAAAACACAGAGTTTTGCCAGATTTTCGGCAACAGGATGCAGGAAGCCCAAGCCAGCAAAAAAGCCGGCAGAGGGAATCGAGCCTGGGACCCCTGTTTTGCAACACCGGCTCCCCGAAGACTACGTTTAGTGGAACGTCATCAAATTGCCGCGCGGTACGTGGGGGACCCCCCCCCGTAAGAGGGAATATTATGTCTCATTTGTCGCGGAGGCATTCGGGCCCACACACAGGCTAAAATAATTAAATCTCATTTAACATAATTTAAATAATTTAGATAATTTAAATAATTAAAATCAGCCAGGCAATTTCAATTAATTAAATTAGTAAATCTTTTGGAGCCCAACAATAATTTAAAAGATTTAAATCAGAGAGTGGCAAATTGCCCAGGGACAATCCAGAACTATTTAAATAATTAAGAAGATTTAAAAGATTTAAATCATTTAAATTTTTTAAATCTTTTAAATCTTTTGGGGCCCAAAAATAATTTAAAAGATTTAAAAGATTTAAATCATTTAGATCTTTTAAATCTTTTGGGGCCCAAAAATAATTTAAAAGATTTAAAAGATTTAAATCATTTAAATCTTTTACATCTTTTAAATCTTTAGGGGCTCAAAAATAATTTAAAAGATTTAAAAGATTTAAATCATTTAAATATTTGAAATCTTTTAAATCTTTCAGGGCCCCAAAAAGATTTAAAAGATTTAAAAGATTTAAATCAGAGAGTGGCAAATTGCCCAGGGGCAACCCAGAACTATTTAAATAATGTAAAAGATTTAAAAGGTCTAAAAGATTTAAATCATGTAAATCTTTTAATTCTTTTAAATCTTTTGAAGCTTTCAGAGCCCAAAAAAGATTTAAAAGATTTAAATCAGAAAGTGGCAAATTGCCCAGGGACAATCCTGAACTATTTAAATAATTTAAAACATTTAAAAGATTTAAAAGATTTACAAGATTTAAATCATTTAAATCGTTTAAATCTTTTGGGGCCCAAAAATAATTTAAAAGTTTTAAAAGATTTAAATCATTTAAATCTTTTAAATCTTTTAAATCTTTCAGAGCCCAAAAAAGATTTAAAAGATTTAAATCATTCAAATCTTTTAAATCTTTTAAATATTTCAGAGCCCAAAAAAGATTTAAACGATTTAAAAGATTTAAATGATTTAAATCAGAAAGTGGCAAATTGCCCAGGGACAATCCAGAACTATTTAAATAATTTAAAAGATTTAAAAGATTTAAAAGATTTTAAAAGATTTAAATCATTTAAATCTTTTAAATCTTTTACATCTTTTAAATCTTTCAGAACCCAAAA